ATAGATAGATAGATAGATAGATAGATAGATAGATAGATAGATAGATAGATAGATAGATAGATAGATAGATAGATAGATAGATAGATGATAGAGTTACACGCAGTGAACTTTGGAGCTTTCCTATATGAGAAAAAGTGGCAGAGCTCAGGGACAAAGTCAGAAGAGGAATCAACCTAGAGCAGTGGTGGCTAAACTTTTTCTAAAGGTGTGCCAAAACGGTGTCTGCGCATGTGTGTGTGCCCACCCACCTGCACATGTGCAAGTGACCCCTCCCACCTGTGCATGTGCGAGCCACCCCAACCGCACATGCGCAAGCCACCCCTCAGCGGGGGTGGGATTTTCCCCCTCCCCAGGATCCGGAGACTTTCCTGAAGCCTGGGGAGAGTGAAAAACAGCTTCCCCTGGCCCTCTAGAAGGCCAAAAATCAGCTGGCCAGCACGCGCCTGTGTGCCAGAGCTGAGGGCTGCCATGCTGGCAAATATGGCTCCACATGCCACAGGTGGTTTGCCATTTCGGGCCTAGAGTCTCTATGTTGTCACAAACAGACTAAGTCAAACCCTTCTTGAATTCTCTTACTTCTTATCTAGCACCAAAATAATGCTATCTGTTAGTTGAGTAGATTTCTGGGCATAGGCATGAGCAATAAATCAGTTTAATGAGAAGTTAATGTGTGGCCCTGACGTTTTGCCTTTCTGACATTTCCCTAAGATCAGATCCCATATAAGTAAATATTGTGTATTGTGTTCCAATGGTTATTTTTGCAGCTCCTGAAGTTGTGAAGAATGAACGGTACACATTCAGCCCAGATTGGTGGGCTTTCGGATGCCTGCTCTATGAGATGATTGAGGGCCAGTCTCCATTCCAACAGCGCAGGAAAAAGATCAAGCGTGAAGAAGTGGAACGTCTGGTGAAGGAAGTCCAGGAAGAGTATTCTGAGAAGTTCTCACCTGCCTCCCGCTCCCTGTGTTCCATGGTACGGGTGCTGACTCTTTGACCATCAGGCACAGTTAGGATTTGCAACATAAACCCTTTCCTTTTCAAAGGGATTGATGCTTGGTGGAAACTATATCATTAAAACTGAATTTGCTGTTTTGGCTTACTCCAGAATGAGTTCAGTCAAAACAAAAATCAAAGTTTTTTACTATATGGGTTAAATTTTTTTTTTTTTAAAAAAAAAAAAACAGGAACAGAAGTACTTTTGATGTAATTTGGTAGCCAGTTAAGTGCAAGAATTTCAGTTCATCATCAATGATCAGTGCCTTGGTTTTTAACCACCTACTAAATCATGGATTATTGGTTAATAGATTCTAAACCATTAAAGTTGGTTTATAGATCACAGAGACTATGCATAACCCGCATACGTTGAAGCAAAACAAACCATATTATATATTAAACTTACCTGCAAACCTGTATTTAGACCAGTATCTAGCACAATCTTGCTGCAATTGTGCTATACATCTCAATGTATCTATATAGCAACTAATCCTACCTGACATCTACCTGTCAGAAAGCAGTTAAATCGTACTTCAAATCCTTTGTATCCTTGTATAAACTCGTATAGATGTTTATTCTGAAACTTTCCTTTGTTTAGAAAGCAACTTGATTTCCCAGTTTATCAACCAGTAAATAAATAGCCATTGTTTCAAATATCTTTTGTGCACATTTTTGACTAACAAGAGAGAGGCATGGAAGAAGGAAGGATAGACGGTGAAATCACGTCCCCACTGTGGGTCTCAGTTTCCCTCACTAGCTTGCACATCTCTCTCAAATCAGAGGAAAAATGCTTACGTATCAGAAATCTACATGTCTCTCACTATGATAGTTTAATACCACCTTGTTATATTCAATTAATAACCCCTTTCTGACCCAGTTTCATTAGATATCCCAAGAAGATACATAACTGATCTTAATTTTGTCTCTTAATTGTAACTGCAGTCTATGAGGAAGACTGGAAAGGCTGTTAACTATCAAATAATAAGGCATAAATGTTAAGGGGGGGGGGATCTTTAAGCTAGTCCTTATTTAGCAACTGCCTCATTCCATTCACTAAAACGTACGACAGAGATGAAAAGTAATTTTGCTTGCAGTCCTCATATTTATGACTCAGGCCTGTAAAACAAAACACCATGATTCATGCATTAGGGAAGGATGTCTCCCTGGGACTGGTCTGAAGGCTATAACTAATGCAGAATGGAATGGTTGGGTTCCTCATTGAGGTGCTTTATGTGTACATGCTCCTGGTTGCCAATGAGCCAGATTCAGGGGGCTAAAATATAAATTCTAAACGTGACCCGTCAAAAGCGCGAACGTCATAAGCGCACCGACAACACCGCGGCGCTAAAACCGCGATTTCAAAAGCGCGCCGACAACAGCGTGCCGACAACAGCGCGCCGACAGAAGCG